CTTATCAAAGGAAACCTTAAATCAGCCTGCATGAATAGTTTCTCTGTGGCTGCACCACAGAGATGAACAGAGATAGGGCCTCATTTGGGAAAGCTCAGAACACTTAATTCTTTCTTATTAATAAGCCTCGCCGCTGCATCTGCGTGGAGTTTATACTGTATGCTCTTCCTGTGTTTGTGTGGGTTTCCTCTGGGTGCTCTGGTTTCCTCCCACAGTCCTGGTGTCAGTGTTTGTGTGTCTTTGCTTGTGTCCATCTTCCCTGCGATGGACTGATGTCTCAACTATGCTACCTTGTGCTGTTGCTTATCAGAGAAGGCTTCGGCTCCCCTGCAAACCGGAATGGGAAGAAGTGATTAGAAAATGGATGGGTGCATGTTACATAACATTGCACAATAGTTAGAAGTACAGGCTATCACATGCTGCAGCCTATCAGGGAAAAGTCATTGTTGAAGTCCCTGAGTGAAGTGGAATATTTTCCCTGAAACCAATATTCTTTTTCAGTTATTATGCCAAGTGGTTAGTGAAAATTAGTCTGCTTTGGCACTATCCTTTTTTGGGCTTCAGAAATGTATTGAGGCTAGATCCACCGCCCTTTGTAGACTACTGTCTGATACTAGATTTGAACTCCTTTATGTAACGGTTTTACAGCTTGCATAACCATCTGTAGCTGTCTGATAGTCTGCCTACTGCTATCAGCAAAAGCAATTAAAGCATCCCTGAATTTCCACATTAATATTAACAAACAGAAACCCTTCTTCCAACAAAGTAAAAAATCACAAATATGTTATCAATATTACAGATTTTAACACAAATATGAAGTCTTATTCAATTTTTAGTGTGCGTACCTAAAAGCTAGGAGCTGTTTACACAAAATGCATGAAATACAGCAGAAGCTACCACATTAAACGATACATGGACAACTGATAGAGATGAATGCAACAGTGGATACACTGTTCCCTACAGACAGAAATGTTAGATGAGGAGGAGGTGTAGCACTATGTCTTAAAGGTTTTCAGGCTCAGGAACATAGCCTGGAGAAATCTAGATCTCAGAATCTATATCAGCCAGACTCAAAACACATTCTAAAGATATACTGTAGCATGAGGAGTCTAGTATTAAGCAACAAATGCAGATATACACTACTGAATTAATAATGAAATTAAGAATTTATGTGCAAGAGAAGAAAGTTTTTTTATGGTGGATTTCACCTGTTCATACATAGACTGAGAAAAGCATATAGGAATATCAGCAGCAGAAATTTACATGTTTAATGACATGTAACCTACAGGAAGAAAATGTTCCTGTTTTCTAACGATTACGACAGAGGTAAAACAGGGAAGAAGGAACCATAATGATAATAATAAACTTTATTTTATATAGCGCCTTTAAAGGTGGCTTCTCAAAGCACTTTACAGAATGACAACAACAATAAATAAAAATAATACACAAGATAAAACACAATTACAGTATATAGAGGAGACCGTGGATGGTGATACTAAGAAAAGCTGAGGGGTGAAGAACAGAACCAGTTAAGTAAAGGCTTTTCTAAAGAAGAGGGTTTTGAGTCTGGATTTGAAGGAGTTTAGAGAAGGTGACTCTCTGATATCCTTGGGAAGAGAGTTCCAGAGCTTGGGTGTTACGAGTTCGGTAATAGGGACCGAACTAGTGAGTGAACCCACTTGCAGGAGCGAACAAAGCCAAGTCGTAAACCGAAAGTAAACCGTAATCGTAGGAACGAGCCGAGAGTCCAGGGGGAGCAAGATATCTGAAAGGGAACGTGTACCGAAGCCGAAGTGTGATCCGAAGTCGTAGTCCGTAGAGCAATCCGAGAATCCAGAGGTAGCCAGTTATCCAAGACAGAGCGAAAGTACCAATCCAAGCCGAGATCCGAAAAGCCGAAGTCCAAAGGGAAAAACCGTAAGCCGAAATCCAAGACAAACACGGAGTAGAAGAAGCGCAACCAGGAAGCTCGATAGGGAAAACCAATACTGAGCAACGAGGTAGGGAAGGACAGGTGTTTAAGTAGGATGAGACGGGGGTGTGGTGGTGAATGGGAAAACTGATAGGTGAACTGATGGATAGGGGCTACACCTACTTCTGCCTCTTCCGTTGCCGAGAGGCACGGATCGTAACATTGGGGGCATAACAGGAGAAGGCCCTGTCACCCATACAGTGTAGACGGGCTTAGGGGACAGTAAGGAAAGCAGAATTAGAAGAGCAAGGGTCGCGAGGTGGGGAGTAGGGCGATAATAGTTCAGACAGGTACTGAGGTGCCAAGCCATGCAGAGCCTTATAGGTGAGCATGAGGATTTTAAAGTCTACATGGAATTTGACCGGAAGCCAGTGCAAGGACTCCAGGATAGGAGTAATGTGATCACTTGCTCTAGACCTGGTCAGGATTCTGGCTGCTGAATTTTGGACATACTGCAGTTTGTTCAAAATAGATTTAGATACCCCAGCGAGTACAGCATTACAGTAGTCAATTCGAGAGAACACAAATGTGTTGATCAGCTTTTCAGCCACAGTTAGTGATAGCATAGGGCTTAGTCTAGCGATATTTCCGAGGTGAAAAAAATATGTTTTGACAGTATGCTGCACATGTGGGTCGAATGTAAAGCCAGAATTGAATATAACCCCAAGGTTCTTTAATTTAGATTGAAGCTCTAGTACAGAACCATCTACAGATAGGGTTACAGGACTGGCTTTACGAAGTTGATGGGGGGTGCCAGTAAGCATGACTTCAGTCTTGTCAAAGTTAAGATGAAGGAAGTTTTGAGTCATCCAAATGTTTATGTCAGAGATGCAATTAGATAGAATAGAGACAGACACATCAGTTTGGTATGGATGTTTGGTATGGATGTATATTTGAGTGTCGTCAGCATAGAAATGAAAGCTGACCAAGTGGAAACATGTATATGCTGAAGAGCAAGAGGCCCAGTATTGAGCCCTGAGGAACATCCGACTTAACAAGACTAATTTCAGACCTGTACCAATTAAGAGATGAAGTGACAGCGATCAGTGAGCTAAGATTTGAACCATTTGAAAGCAGTGTCAGAAACTCCAAACACAGTCTCAAGATGAGAAAGTAAGATGTCATGGTCAACAGTGTCAAAAGCAGCACTGAGATCAAGAAGGATGAGTATAGAAAGAGAACCAGAATCAGAAGCTATGAGACGATCGTTAGTGACTTTGACCAGGGCAGTTTCTGTGCTGTGAAGTTGACGGAAGCCAGATTGGAGGGGTTCAAAAAGGTTGTTTGTCATGAGGTGGTTATGTAACTGAAGTGAGACAGCACGTTCTAAAATTTTTGCAAGAAAGTGTAAGTTGGAGATGGGGCGAAAATTGTTAAGATTGTCGAGAGCCATGTTAGGCTTTTTTGACACTGGGGTAATGGCATCAGTTTTGAGGACCGTTGGTACAATGCCAACCAGAGAAGTTGGATGAGAAGGGAGGAGGTATGGAAATGATTTGCGTAGTGGAGAGAATGTGATGCAAAGTTGCGATGAGGCAGGCAATGTGGTGGGGCAGTTTGGCTTGAGCAGTCTGTTGATAAGGGAACCATGATCATAATATTTAAAGCTTTGAAGTATACTTTGAATCTGTCTAAATCAAAATTGTACTTTATAACAGATAATTTCTTGATGAAATGAGCCAAAGCAGAAGTACAATCAAATAGTTTTATAGAGGATGGTAACCGTTTTAACAGATTCTTCATGAAACCGACATAGATTTAAATATAGATTTATCCCAATAGTAAATTAATCAAAAGCTAAAAAGCAGTATCCTGTTTAACAAATCAAACTGAAAGCACTTTATAAAAGTATTTACAAAAAAACAGCATCCAGTTAATAAAAAGGAATACAATGCAATCCCAGGCACAAATTGGTATCGGAAAGGTCACAGGAGAGGTGAAAAGGAGAATTGAATCCATACATAATTTTTCCAAACCGCTTCATCCCATTCAAGGTCACAGGGAGCCTATCTCAGCAAGCAACAGGTGCAAGACAGCGAACAGCTTGGAGATGCCAGTCCATTCGCAGGACAGACACAAACGCACTCACACAAGGCAAGTTTCTCAGAAGCCTACCAGTATATCTCTGGACTGCGGGAGGAAACTGGAGCACCCGGAGGAAACCCACATGAACATGATGCAAACATGCAAGCTCTATGCAGATAGCACTCCCATTCCAGAACTGAACCCATGGCTGCATCCAGGAGGTAATAATTCTGTATTTAATGTAAACAGCATTAGTCTCACAGAGTGCAAAACATTCCTCTGGGTTTATTGTTCTGTACTATCCCCTGTATGTTGGTGTGATTTGTTGTACTGTTGTTATTTATTATTTACTGCTGTTATTTGTTTATTATTATTTACTGTTTGGTATTGTACTGTGTACATCCTGAGAGAACAGCACAACTATGAATCCTAGCATACATGTACATATAGCAAAAAAACTCCTCTCTCTCTCTCTGTCATAAGGAGCCACTTTGTTCGGGACGGCAGGGACTGAAGAGATTGCAAAAAACAAAAAACTAAAGGAGTATGGCAATGCTGGGCTTCTCCTTTGGGACATTTGGCTTTGGTAATTGGGGTCCATGGGGTTCTTGTGCTTGTCTGTGTGTGTCCCTTGTGGATGGGTTATGTTCTGGTCTGTGTGGCGGGTAGGCAGTGAGATATATTGTAACTGCTAAATTATTTGTAATAAAAAGGGATGCTATGTAGGGTGACTGTCTTGTCTTGTATATGTGGGTGCACTGGTGGTTTAGGAGATATAAAGAACCTGCTGCAGGGAAAGAGAGAACGTGCACCCTTAAAATTACTAGGTAGTGTAGTCTGCTACAAAGTACAAAGTTAAAAAGCTAAAGTATCCTGGAATCTGGGGATGCTATCTGTAAATTTTCACATACCATATACAGGTAACAAACTGTTGATGAAAAGCAAATGATGCGCGATGACTGAACTTTGTTGTTTTTTTATACTGGACTTGTGAGTATAGCATTTTGACTACACCACAATAAAACACCGCTACATTAAAAAGCAACTGAAAAAAAGCGGTTACGGGTCATGATCCGGTTTGGGGAAGTAGTGTATAAGTGAAAAATAATATTAAGCTTGGCAGATGACGTAGGGATATTATACAAAAGAGAAAGCAATACAATACTTGTATGACCGGTTTGGACGATCTGGGGAAACGAAACTTAATTGAAGAGACAAGAGGAACCATTGTACTTCTTTTCCAGACTCATTAGAAGATGAGTGAAAAAGAGATTTTACAGCGATATAAAAAATATATAACTGAAATAATTCAACCGTCGTGTATATTGCAGTACCTGGATTTTTTTAAACAAGGTATGTTAACGTATTTTCATTTTCAAGCACTTAGTGTACTGTAGATGTATCTAGTAATTGTCTGAGGGTATTAAAATATAAATTAACGCAAGATCGGTTTTTTTAAAGTCATAGTCATTTGAAAAAGATAATTGCTGGATATTTAGACTTAAATAGATATTGAATTACTGTTGTGTGCACCTGAATGTTTGCGGACATACACAAATACAATGATACGGCTACATTGTACTCACGTTTTAGCAATTTTACAGTTGACAGCTGACAGTTACTTCTCATCTGTAATTTGTAATACAATATATACAATACGTGCCTTTTATTTGTATAAGCGTGTAAAGAGTTAAAAATGACGATGTAAATTATGAGGACCATAAGACAATGAGTTGATTATATAATCATATACCTACCTAATTATATACCTACTATACAATAGTAGGTAAATATGACGATACGGACTTCAACACATATAGACTGCTCATACATAGCTCAGTTGTGATTAAAAGGCTTGAGAATTCTGATCAATGTGAATTATATATTGCAGTGACAAGCTTGTTGACCAGCTTGGTTTATGCACAAATTGATGGTGTTCGGAAAATAACAATGTTTTGCTCTGTAAGTTACCACTACTGTATGTATTTGCCTACAAAATGTCCAATAGTATTGAATTATAAATGATGTATATTTAAGCTTTAATTAAATATACTTAAGCTTTAATAACGACATTTACATTTACTCTTACATACTAAACTAGAAAGGATTTCCTGCCTCGTCTGGGAGCTGCTATTGAATATGTCTGTGCTTCTCCAGATGGAGTGTTGTACTGCACCTCTCACAGCGACAATAAGATCACAATTATCCAGAGTAAACTGAAAGTCATTGGTGTAATCCAAGGCCGGGTTAAAGGAGATAATATCAAGACCAATTTAATCATTTAATGATTGACCCAAGAAGTCCATGGAGTGCTGTACTGCACCTCTCACAGCGACAATAAGATCACAATTATCCAGAGTAAACTGAAAGTCATTGGTGTAATCCAAGGCCGGGTTAAAGGAGATAATATCAAGACCAATTTAATGATTGACCCAAGAAAAGACTTTAACATACTAAATTTCACAAAGTACAATATTGGGTTGTACAATGTCGACTGTAACATTGTACTGTTTGATAGTGGCAGATTGAATACGAATTCCCGAGAGGTTTTACTTGAACGATTCTATAAAGCGTGCTCATATACTCAAAATATGTAGTCGTTATTTTCAGCTTCACTTTTTGTTTCAAAACTTTGCGTGATAACAAAAAAAAGGTATTTATGTAATCGATATTGTTTGGTTTGTTGTATTTGTTGATCTGTCGTTGTATGTTTGGATATCCATTTTCGCATATACTGTATATAAACCTTCCTGCATTTCAGAAAACAAAACTCTCAAGGTGAATTTATTCATGTTATCCTCTCCTCAAAACTGAATGTTTTGGAAGGAGGTGTTGAGTGTTTCACGCAGGTACAGTAGCAAAAACATAAGGTGTAAGATGGAAAACAGAAAAAAATAAGAAATCATATACAATGCCTTTCAAAAGTATTCACCCCCTTCCAATGAACTTTTTTTTATTACAAGTGATTAATGCGTTTTTCAAAGTTAATATTTTAATGAAACTTTGAATGCTCCAACTGATTATTTATAGGCAAAAACATAAATGTCAACAAAGAAAAATCAAAAACTAAAATATGTTCATTGCATAAGTACTGACCCTCCCTGAGTCAATATTTGATAAACGTACCTTTGGCAGCATTTACAGCTGTGAATCCTTGGTGTAAATATGTTAGCTACAGAAAAGACTACCAGCTGTGCACACTGGGATGGTGCAGTTTTTCCATCCATTCATTTTCTAATTGCTTCATCCAATTTAGTGTCGTGGGGTAGTCAAAATATATCCCAATAAGCAGGATACACCCTGTGTGGGAAATAAGTCCATCGCAGTGTGCACACGGACACAAACATGCACACTCATACTGTTCCAGGGCCAATGTTCCCAGAAGCCAATTAGCCTACCAGTATGCTTTTGTAGACTGTGGGAGGAAACCGGAGCACCCAGCAAAAACCCATGTGAACTCAAGGAGAACATACACAGTCTACACAGATAGCACCCAAGGTCTGGAATTGAATCAAGGGCCCTAGTGCTGTGCCTCTGTGCCACCCCACCAATGCATATTTTCAAACTAGCTTGAGTTACATCACATGGGTTCGGAATCAGTGATATACAGCAATTTTCAGGTCGGACAATCCAAAAAGTCTTGCCACTTAGTGTTTTTTTCAATCTTCTTTGTACTTTAGAAAATTATGTACATAATTTGTTATTCAACAAAATTGAATATTGGAATGAACTGAATAATTTTACAAGGTACTGAAGATGGCAATACCATATTGTGTCTAAGATGCCTGAGATTTTTGCAGGATAAATGTGTGAAGCTACTCTTGGCAGTAGTAAAGTAAATGAAAATTTGTTGGGTTATATTAGCTGAGCACGGAACATCTATAACTTTCATGATTTTAAGTTAAATAAGACCATGGAAAAAGGTTAGCATCTAAGTAAGGAAAATGTATAGAAATATGACTTTATTCTCTGTACTTTTATCTCAATGTGTATGGAGTACTCTAAGTACAGTGATGCCAATATTAAGGCCATCCAGCCATTTTCTCACTGCTTTCTCACAGCAAGCAAAGGATACAAAGCAGGATACTCCCTGGACAGGATATTAATCCATCACTGGGCAGACACTGACACAAACTCACACCAGTGCCATTTGTTACAGAACCCAATTAGCCTACAAGTCTCTGGACTGTGGAAGGCCCTCTCAGAAACCCATGAGAACACAGGGAGAACATATGAACTAAATCCAGGAAATGCACTCAGGGACCCACTGTTTTGTTGCGGTGCTATCTGTGTGAGATTTGTATGTTCATTTATGCTTCCAGCCCTACTCTATTTAATCTTCTGTTCATGTCATACAGGGGTGCAGCACTTTGGCTCTTCACATTGTGATTTCCAAGTTCTGCTGCATATTGGAGGACAGTGGTGATATTGAGACCAAATGTTTAATCTCCTTTCTGCACCCCACTGTTCCCTCAAAGACGAGATTTACTGTGTGTGCTTTTCCCAGATGAGGTTGAGCGCATCAAAGCTCGAGAAACCCAGGAAGGCCTGACCCAGGCAGCCTCGCTCCTGATGGATCTAATCCTCAGTGTGGAAGCACCAGGCTGGTACCGCATGTTCCTTGACAGTCTCAGTAATGCTGGTATGTAATTTGGTCCCTCTTGTCTTTCATAAAGATCTCATATATTCAACCACATCTCCATGCAAATACAAAAGCTATAGACCGCAAACTTGCAAATTATTGTTTTGTCCTCTGCTTTTTATATGAATTTACCTTGTTCAGCTGTTGTGTAAAGTGTAAAGTGTCATTTTATGTGGAAGGTCAAATGAGAAGGAGTAATTTGATTCTGATGTAAAGGTTATCACATTTGGTGAAAGAGCTAATTATGTTAGTTTCTTAATTGTAATGAAATGATTTGTTAATTACACTGTAATGTAAAAGAATGAAGGCAGTCTGTAATAATGAAGTGTTGTTAAAATGGTGGGCAGGCTGGTATTTGAGCCAAGATTTCCCAATATTTTCTCAAATATTTACCACTCTCTGGAATTGTCCTGCCCATGCCAATCCCAATATGGTGTCTCTGTTCTCACAGTGTATGTCTTTCTCCTGTTGCCTAGGTTACAATGACCTTTCAGAAGCCCTCGAGTCCAGTGATTTCACAGCAATAGAAAAAGCAAATGTAAACAAGGAGCTGGTGAGGAAGTTAAGTCCCTCACTGCGACATGATGTCCACCCCAAGGACATTCTTTTGCACCTCCATGAGGGGCTCTTACAAGCCCAGAGAGAGGAGATAGAGCAGGTAAGTGTGCTTAAAAAAATGTAGTCAAGCATTTTTGCTTCGGGCTTTCTTGTGATTTGTTTTCCTTTTTTCCAAAGTAATTTTCAAAGAACTGATAAAACTGCCATTGTTGTATGGTTCCATTGTTGCTTAATAATAATAATAATAATAATAATAACTCCTTACACATATGTAGTGCTTTTCTGGACGTACATTCAAAGCGCTTTACAGGTAATGTGGACTCCCCTCCACCACCAATATGCAGTACCCACCTGGATGATGTGACAGCAGCCATTGTGCGCCAGTACACTCACCACACATCCGCTGTTGGTGGGGAAGAAATGAAGAGTGATGAAGCCAATTCATAGATGGGGATTATTAGGAGGCCATGATTTGTAAAGGCTGATGGGAAATTGGACCAGGATGCTGGGGTAACCCCCCTACTCTATTTGAGAAATGCCCTAGGATATTTAATGACCACAGAGATTCAGGACCTTGGTTTAACATCTCATTCAAAGCGTGGCGCCTTTTTACAGTTTAGTGTCCCCATCACTATACTGGGCATTAGGACCCACCAAACCATGAGAGTGAGCACCCCCTACTGGCCCCACTAAACCTTCGTTTTTCCAGGAGGTCTCAGAGGATCTCTTAGAGGTCCAGGAGGCCCAGGTACTGACCAGGCGTACAACTGCTAAGATTCACTGGGGTGCCAGTTGTGAGTTGCAGGGTGATATAGCTGCTGGCCATATCATTCCAAGAGTATCAGCCTTATAATCCAGAATTCACTGGTTTGAGCTGTAGCTGCATCATGAGAGACACCGACCAAGTTTCCAGCTGAGCGCCAGCCATTGTGGTCAGGCTATCTTGCGTAAGGATTTCCTTGGATTGCCATGCTGAGCACCTGTAATCTTGTAATGATTGTCAGTGAGAAAGATGCACTGCTTGTCAATCTGTCCAAACTCTTCTGTAGGGCACTGTGGAGCTCTGTGAGTGTCAGATGGCAAATGCTATAACATGCTGGCCAATTGAATAACACATGATATTAATCAAAATAAATCATTAGCATTGTTGTTGCGCATGTACACTTTTGAATGTCTTACTAAAATGGTTCTTGTTGACCTGTTTCTTCAATCAGGTAACAGAACGATTTGGAGCACATCATGGAATGTCCAAACTGTTAGATTTTCTGCTCAGGTCGGACAATCCAAAGTGGTATAACGCCTTTGTGGATTCACTGGCTGCTGGCAGATATTCCAGTTTAGTTTGTGTCCTGGATGAACGAGGTGGTAAGAACAAATTCTTTATTGTCTGCTGTAAATCTCTTCAATCTAGAAAAAAAGGCTCATGCTGTGTCTGTTGAAGTCAGCAACTTCAATAAATATACATTCATTATATGCAGGTATGTCTAGGTTGTCTAGACGCAAACCCTTTATTATAACATCTGTGCGTGTATTTAGAGACTGTGGGAATTTTGCAGTGCATGTAGTAGGTGTGTGTTTCATTAATTCTAATATACATTTCAATCTCAAGTTTTAAAATATTATTTACTTGTACAAAGTACAGACAAAAGGTTTGGAAGTAATCATTGATTATGTCGTGCATCCATAATAAGGTAACCATCATATTAAAAAGTATATGCTGAAGACTTCAGCAAAATTGCCTAAGATGCATATTCCTCCTAAGGCAAGGTGTACACATGGGAAGGCTAATGTCCTGAGTTTCCCGAACTGGCAAGGCCCTGTCTTATTAAAGTCAAGCTTTGTGAAATTGATCAGGACTTGCAGGGTCATGATCAATTTCAGGACCCCGAGGATTTAGAAAACCTCAAAAATGAGCAAAGTTCCTCCAAACTATTTACCAGCTTTAGGCAACCAGACTCTAGTTTCACCTTTGGAATACTTATTTAAAATATCGCTTTCTCCGAAAAGAAAAATGGTTTCTCTGTGTACCAAAGAGCATGTTTATATTCAGCCAGCATCTCAAGAACACTTCAGTGAAGAGATAATTAGCTGTTTGGGGGTGCCCAGGCTTTTTAAAACAGAAATTACAAAGAAGAAGTGCTTACTAACAGTGACTCCTGTTCCCTATGTCTTTTTGTCCTCCTTAAGAAATAATTTTGTTAATGTTACAGAAATATGTTAATTATTTTTCCAAAGCTGAATCACCATTTCCAGGTGATTACTAAAACTTGCCTTTGGTTTTAATTTTCAGATACTGATGACCAGAGTGGGGATGAACAAGAAATGGAAATGTCTTACAGTGAAGAAGCAGAAATGGAAAGTTTAGATCCTAACACAGGTTAGTCTTTTCATGATTAATAAGGGCAATATAAGTAATGTTATGAATGTGAATGTGTGCGACAATAATCTGATGTTTTACTGCTTGCATGATCACTCTGATTTGTGAATTATAAAGGGAACTGGAAACTATATTATAGGAAATTGATGACATTCTTATTTTTCTTTTTCTACTATCCACAAGAAGAAGCACTTAAAAAACCACGGTATGACTTTGAAGTTGCCCCCAGGCTGGCTAAACTGAGAGATTATCAAGTGGAATTAGCTGAACCAGCTCTGAAAGGCAAAAATACCATCATATGCGCTCCGACAGGTGAGAACACCCAAGATTCTCATTATCTTTTCAAAGGGTTAGTGTGTCATCCGGCTCATAAGACATCTGTTGGACTAGGTTCTGGGAAGACTGTTGTTGCAGTTGAGATCTGCTCGCAGCACCTGAAACAGGGCACAGAGGAACAAAAGAAGAAAGTTGCTTTCTTGGCAAACACTATCCCACTCTGCCAGCAACAGATGGACCTGTTTCAGAAGTACTTTGGTAACACGGAGTAAGTTTTGTACCATTGCAACCCTTGTTTTCTGATGTTTGTATGATATCTGGAACATAATTAGCATGACTAAACATATTGGCTTTATATGTCCTGTCTTTAAATAGTTGAATTAGCTTTTCTATATGGATTTCCTACTCTTCCTACAAGTTACACACTTTAAATATTGTTTGAAACAGTTCCCAGTGATTTCACATTTTCATTCTATAGTATACAAGGGTGCTTCTATTTCTTCTTTAATCTATTCTATGCCATAGAGCAAAGGCTTTGCAGTATTTTTTCAGGACTTTTTGCTACATGCGAAATGTAAAGCATCACTAGAATCTCCAGCAGGTGGCAACAGAGCACAGCATAAAACCCTCAACAGCCTCCAGATTTTGAGAATAAAACAGTGGAGAAATACTGGTTTTGTTGTACTTGATTTGGGCTCAGACAAAGAAATACTGGGGAGTGTGACTCACTACTAACTACTAACATGTACATTTTAAGTTTAGAGGAAAGAAGGTTACAGTTCCTGAAACTGGCTTAGGAAGAAATTCACGTCCCCATATCAGCATATCCCTCTGCATTTATACTGTATAGTCGTGAAAAAGGTGCTGTCAACGCTTCCTCATTAATGTTTTTTACAGTTATCTAATTATAATTATTATAAGCTACAATGCAAAACTCAGGAGGAAAGGTGAAGGTGACACTTAGGCTCTCTTCCACCGTTAATCAGACCTTTGATGATTCATTTTCTTAAATTTATGACTGTTTATCCCCTCTATCTCCCACTGAGTGTCACTCTTCCCAGGCTTTTCTCCCTATGAGAATCACAGCATGGATGAGACTATAACACTATAGACTGCAGTGTATTTCAGTAAACTAGTAGACAAATGAATAATACAGTAATCCCTCATTATACAAGCTTAATTTGTTCCTCGAACACTGCTCCTAAGGTGGAAACACATATAATATAAATTAAATCCCTAATATTTCCCATGTTATTATCTGTGTTTAGTTCCAAAACTCAAACATGTTCCAAATTTCACCTTAATGGATCACAGAACAAAAGTTGAAAACATTTCCATTACTGGTTAATTATTTGAGTAACATGCTTATAGTCGTTAGCCAAAGCATAAACAACAGTAGCCACATTGTAACAGGTGTTAGCAAATGGATAAACATTAGGTCCTACCCTCTATATGCATTTAACACACACAAGTGTTTATTATTTAAAAAATCAGATTTTTTACTCAAAATTTTTTAAATTTCACTCAAAATTCCTCATCTGCTAAGATGTGAGAAACGAAGTAGCTCACCAGTGCTTTAGAAAGAGCCCAGCTCATTAAATGAAATGAAGAAAAACAGGAAGTACTATGTTGTAAAAAGGAAAACTAATGTAACAGTTACTCGTATATCAAGGGATTGCTGCACATTTGTTGTCTCACACCATGCTGTATGTAATTTTTTATTTCATTTTCCATCTGTATGTTACAGTTTATAGAAATATGTTCTCCTTCTTGTTTCATACCAGTCGTGTGACCATAGTTGTTGATGTATCATCTTTCTGCTGGAGGAATAATGTTTTGTGGTTTCTGGATCTGTAGGTATGAAGTAACTGGTCTCTTTGGAGAAAGTACTTCAGCCATGGCAGTTTCTGTTGGCGTGGAGAGTTACGACATTGTGGTGATGACTCCCAAGATCCTGGAGATGAACCTGGAGAATTACAACATCCCTGGGTTGTCCACTTTCACCCTCATCTTCTTCGACGAGTGCCACAACACAATCAAGAACCACTCCTACAGTGCCATCATGAAAATGTACATGGACACCAAGCTAGGAAATCCAGCAGCACCACTCCCACAGGTTGTGTTACCAGAATTATTTCAATCACTGTTTACATGATGTGACAATCTGGTCTTAGATTGTCATTATGGGATCTTTAACATAGGTGGGTCCAGGAAACTAGATACGCAAATATAGCCATGGTGTTCCAAATTCAGTGCAATGTATTTACAGTGTGGCAAATCAACAACCAACCAAAACACCAAAACTAAAACCTAAGCTCCATTTGAACTGCTGCCTAACTGACCTCTTCCAGTCACTTACAATACAAAATGGTGTAGCTATACTGCTGACAAGTTTTCCAAAATGTTGCACAAGAAGTATCTTCACAAAAACACTTCTAAAATACAGCTGTTAATTAAGCAGCACTTTGGGCTGAAAATATACTGAAGTAATCCTTGTTGTTTGTTCTCAGGACATCTGACATTATCCTTACGGTACTCTTTGTCTTCGTCTCCTAGTTGAGTTCAGAACTCAGGTTATGTGAATTACGTTATCCAAACAACTGTAATTTATAAAGTACAATCGGTGCTCTGAGGAGGAACTGTATGGAAACACTGTTCTCTTGTCACAAGAAGCAGCTCTAAACAGTTGTGATCCCACAGTGACCTTCCCCTATGGAACAATGATGCATTCAAGCCTCTTCTTCAAGTCAGTATGATGATTATTTCAAAGGCGATACTGTAATAGCAATGTCCACTTTCACTGCAACTCTTAATATTTTACAGCTCAAGTTCCATAACACTGCAAGATCAAATAGTACAAATCAAATCAATGGTGATTAATCTTTTATCAACTCCAAATGTGCTGTCACACCTTAAGAGCCATTTAAAAAAAACAGTTTTGCTTATTGTGACATCATACAAGAGAATGCACTAAGTCACATTCTCATAGGTTACTACTGCTACTTAACAATAACAACAATAATAATAATTACTCTTACGTAGCACTTTTCTGGACACTCCATTCAAAAAGCTTTACAGGTAATGGGGACTTCACCAATGTGCAGCACCCACCTGGATGATGCAACGGCAGCCATAGTGCACCAGTACAGTACGCTCACAAAACACACCAACTATCAGTGGGGAGGAGAACAGAGTGATGAAGCCAAGTCATAAATTGGGGTTATAAGGAGGCTATGACTGGTAAAGTTCAATGTGAAATTTAGCCAGGATTTGGCAACACCCCTACTCCTTTCGAGAAACAACCTGGGATTTGACTGCATAGAGTCAGGGCCTCGGTTTTACATCTCATCTGAAGGACAGCACCTTTTTACAGTATAGTGTCCCTGTCACTATACTGGGGCATTAGGACCCACACAGACAGCAGGGTGAGCACCCCCTACTGGTCCCTCTAACACCTCTTCCAGCAGCAACATTAGTCTTTCCAGGATATCTCCCATCCAGATGCTGACCAGGCTCACACCTGCTGAGCTTCAGTGGGTTGCCATTTGTGAGCTGCATGGTATATCTAGTCAGACTCTCAAAAGTACAGATACTATGCTTTTTAAACACAGTCCTGAACTGCTGATTTACTGACCTCTTTTTTTTCATTCCAGATTGTCGGTTTAACAGCATCTGTTGGAACTGGTAAATCCAAGAATGAGCATGGCATCCGTGAGCATATTTACAACCTGTGTGCCAGTCTGGACACTGACACCATTTCCACTGTCATCAAGCATGTGGAGGAGCTCAGAGCACACGTCATTGTACCACACAAAGGTAAACCATTTTTCAGCAAGGTCCTTTTCTTTATTTATTTTTTTAGTATAGGACTTTTTACAGAAGATTTAAGATTTAATTTGCATGTAATAAAGATACTAATTAATTACATATAAAAAGAAAAAATATATTACTTCATTCCTGGCAATATATAATTATATAATAATATGCCAAAATAAACATTTTATACAAAATATTGTACCATAAATTATGTAAGGAACTGGCCACATCAGCATTAGTCCTGTTTTTGAAAATACAATTAACCTTCTATTTCTTATGCGGATATCTCCAAGCCAGGTTTATCTAATGTTTTCTTAATCCAATGGGCATAAAAGGAGCATCTATTTCCAATTTATTGGCTACAACTAAAAAGTGTGATAATGACCCTTTTTTGTTACAACCAAAAGCACATGTGGCTTTCTCTGCTTAACATTTTTGAGTCACTGTTTCCTTATATTATAAACGTTCAGCTGCAGGTGGTGAGATTTGTTTCTGTCAGACTGGTTACTGGGAATGTTCCACTCAACAAATATACTGTAGATGCTGCGTAAGATCTTTTTACATGGCTTTTTAAATAAACAAAATGTTCATCAGGGTTGACAAAAGGGACTAAAGATTAAAATAAAGGACACTTAATGGAGTTTATCTGAAACCTGAAAGTTCAGGATGGATGACAACAACCTAGTTCAATCAGAGTCAGCTCTCAGTAATAATTAATCACACCCGGATAATTTCCTAAAACATTATAAATCCTATACGTTATTCCCATCTCTCTCACATATGTCTTTTTGTATCAGACCTCAACACCGTCTCCACATTTGCAGCTGTTCCTTGGTCATTCCTCACTCTGAATGGAGGTCCCAGCCTCCTTGTCCTATGGCCAGGAGGTTAGCCCTCAGACAATAGGGTTAAGCCAAATTTTGACTAAAACACTCCATAATCCTTTCAGTATCCTAATTCTTGGGTGCACCCTAGAGATTTATCCTGGATTATATCCATAATTATAAAATCTCAACAAGTGAAGTAATGGTGATCTACATGTTACACTTACATAAGAGAAATACACAGGGAAAAATAAATAAAATTGCTTCTATCATCTTTTCTGATCCCAACAATTGCGCTATATTCACTCGTCCTAAAACAGATTTTGTGTATTGATTTCCTACTCTTCAGTGTGAAGATTTATGTCGTTGTGGAGTGTTTTAATGTCTCCATCCTTCTTCTCCTGTCAGATACTAGAATTGTGAAGTCTCGGGCTTGCAACCCGTTCATGGATATTGTGTTGGGACTGATGGCTCATGTGGAGTCCATTGTGGCAAAAACATACAATCTAGGTAAGTGAGAGTGCATAAAGAAATTTGAAATTCTTTAAAACATTTTGTTATACCAAAAGCTTACCCACATCTTCATAGCCTCCTTCAGTTTGTCTACATTAACAACCATTAATAACCCCAGACGGTACATACTGTACAAAAACCTTCTCTCCAGCATTTTCTGCAGGGCTGTATGGGGAGGCCAGGCAAACATGTTAACATTTGTTAATTGGGAAAAGTTCATAATACAGAAATTCCCTTATTAAATTCTACTTTAATAAAACATTGAAACACACATCGAGAGTACAGGATAGTGAAAAATAATTAAATAACAATAAGCCATGTTAAAATACCAAAAGATATCTTAAAGCATGACATTGGGAAGTAATACTAAAACTAAATGGATTTATAAACAAAGTTTACTGTAGTAACCTACAACAAGGTTGTAGTTAACCTTATTATGTGGACCATGGTTCAAATTAGCATTTCATTTATGATTGGCAGAAAATAATATTTTTTTCCCTTGTCCTTTCCCTGATAAGGACACCAATTGAGTTCTGTCCACAATTTTGTCATCACACAAATTCAAGTATAAGTTCCTTTCCATTTTTCAAGGATTTAGGATACCTCACGCACTCTCGGAACTATCTGCATGTCAGCAAACCAAACTCAGTACACACTGGAAAACTGACTGTTCTGTTCCCAAAATAAGGAACCTGCCATGAAGTTGGAAGGTTCTTTAATTCTGGTTTCTTCAGAGTACTGAGTTGAATTATTGAAGTTTAGAACGCTGTGCCCCCTCTCTTCCCCCAACATCCTTAGCGTGTAAACACCACTATCATTGTGATCAACAATAGCCAACATACAAATACTGTATCACATTTGTATGGTCATTTCACTATCCTGGAGGGGGGCTTCTTTTGAACCATTTACTAGCAATATCAGGCTCTTGTTCTGTTCCAGAGGCCTTGACAAAAATCCCCATGAGCACACGTGGCAGCCAGATGTACGAGCAGTGGATAGTGGAGGTTCAGAGGAGCTGCAGGGTGCTGAAGCTTGAGGATGAGGAGATGGAGAGGCAGGTGTGCAGGAAGCTGGTCACCTGCACAGAGCACTTGAGGGTAAGTGGCGAGAAATGGGACCAGGTCTCTGTACCCTTGAATACCAAAAGTACCTGAATTTGGCGAAACATCTGATAAGTAAAAAATAAATTTCCTTGTTTTAAATGGTGGACCAGCTGCCATGGTGGTCAGATGGGCCATGAGATAAGATAAGATCACATTATTAGCCATATACAATTTCTTGCATTAGGAATTTGTCTTTTCACATATCCCAGCTTCCCATATACCATGAGACACACAGGAACAAAGACAGGGAGAGAGAAGCTTAGGGTCAGAGCACAGGGTCAGCCATTTATACGACACCCCTGGAGCTTTGTTGAGGGGCCCAAAAGAGTAGGATTCCTTTGCTGTCTCCAGGATTTGAACCGGAAGTCTTCCAGCCACAGGTGCAGATCCTTAGCTACAGTGCCACCGCTCCACCCACATCTGGAATGGATGTGCCACTGGCCACATTCTCATATCTCACCATCCTCAATGAGGGAGTAAGCCATGACCTGCCATGCTGACCAGGCGGGATAAGTGTACCTTTGTGTTACTTACACTTTACTCTACTAATACAGGAATCTAGTCTGAACAGAGTTTAGGGGGTTCAGTCTTAACTAGCCTGACTCACCATTCTGTCTGGCTACCATGATATAAACTCATGGTCAAGCCCTTCTTTCTAGTAAGATTGACTGTGATCGCTGTGAAGATTGACTGGTTGGTCATTTGTATATTCCAATTTGAATTTGTAACCATTAAACAGTATGACTATCAAAATATTTTTTTATGATTGTGCTGCAGAAATACAATGATTGCCTTATCATATCTGAAGATGCCCGTGTAGTGGATGCTTTAAAGTACTTACTGGAATATTTTAATAACCTTGACCCGGCATATTTTGATGAGACAGATGAGAAACTTGCCAGAATTTTTGAAGGTAATGTTTTAATTCTACTCTGATCATTTTTCTAATGGTTATTAATCTCTGAGCTAAACTGTTTGAATTGCTTGTCCTCGCTGCTGTGTCTAATTTTATTTTTGAAGCTCAAATTTGTTTTTTCTTTCTTTTCCTCTGTGCAGAAAGATAATTAAATAAAAAATGCAAATCAAAAAGCTTTATTGCCTTTGCTCCTATACTGTTCTAGTGAAAACAAGAATAGTACTATGTAATGTCTCAACAGTGTTGTCTTTGTATTTGCGCAGAGAAGAGGTCTGATCTGCAGGCCTTGGCCTGTGAAAAGGTTCAAGAGAATCCTAAGTTGTTGGACCTGCAGTTAGTTTTTGAGGAGCAATACAGGTACAACCCCAGCACAAGAACCATCCTCTTTGTCAAAACCAGAGCACTGGCAGAGGTATGAACTGATATATTCTCATATGGGCATTAAGGAACGGAAAACCAAGGATGGATTTTTCTAGATGTAACAAATATGCCCCTGCATACAACAGAGGATCTCAGCCACTGGGCTGAGGGAGTTCTCCTTTAGCTCAGCTGGCAAGTTCCCCGTTGCGTGACGCCAGAGACCCGGGTTCGCGCCCAGGCGGGACTAACTGGCAGGGCAGGAGCAGCAAGGGCAGAAACCCCAAGAACCGTATTATAGACAAGTAATGGAGAAATTAGCATCCCCACTGCAGAGACCTCTGAATTTAAAAGTGGCATCATCTGGTACTGAAACGGATGAGCTATCAAGAGTGTAAGTGCCCCTCAGCAGATACTGACATATTCTGTAATGGCCAGGGACAGTTTTTTTATTATGTCATTTAATTTTATTTTATGATTTCACTCTACATTGTACACTTTGTGGCTTGCCTTGCTTATCATGGGGTTCAATTATTTTACTGGCACAGAAGAAACTCTAGGAACAAAGAGAATCAATCAATGCTAATTTTTCTGCAATTGGTATTGAACTACGGATAGAGAGGCAGTTAATAAGTGGGAAGGAAAATGACAAAATAGTTATTTAATTGTTTATTAGATGGCGATTGTAATAGCAATCAAGGAAACGATATTTGTTAAAAAAAACTTTGCTGTTAGACTTGTTGTTTTTTACAATCCCTTGTCCAGGTCTGCATTAACTAGATGAGAAATGTTTTTTATCACTACTGATTTATGATTTTTCTTTTTGGTTTTATAGGCAATTAAACAGTGGGTATTGGAAACTTCAGCATTAGCTCACCTCAAGCCAAAGGTTCTCATAGGTCGCAGAAAAACAGACAATATATCAGGTAAGGAAGTTTCTTACTTTTGGAGAGTTTTCATTTCATTAAAGAAGCTGGGTTTGCTGATCTTGGTTTTGCTGAATAGTCTGTCAGGAGACACTAAGGCAGATTCTTTTATGCTCCCCATAACAATACGAAACTGATAGCCTCGGTCCCTGTGTGTTTCCCTCAGGTATGACGCTCTCAAATCAAAAAGCTGTTCTGGATGCCTTTAAAAGTGAAGGAGGCAGTAAGCTATTGATAGCCACCTCCGTGGCAGATGAAGGAATTGATATTGTTACATGTAATTTGGTACTGCTGTATGACTATGTTGGAAATGTGATCAAAATGGTTCAAACCAGAGGTAAGTCAACTCAATTACTATACTTTGAAATCACTTCTCGTTTGATTTCTTTTTTATTTGATGTTTGCTACATATTTCAAAGTATATTTTGTACTTTCAGTAGCCAAAATGTCGTTTTGAGTACTTTGCTTTAGGCTCATGCTGTCTTTGTGGGGACATTGCACTGGGTCTCTATTTGATATTTTCTACTTTACTGAAATGAAACCTGATGTGAAAGAGTTTTATCACTGTCGGATTTACGTGAAGCTGCCTTATAGCTTATTTTAGAGATTATCTCCACCTCTGATTGTCAGGAGTTTATTTTTATGGTATTCTCACATTTTGTCTGCACATTGACATGCACGCGCGCATCACACACAAACCAAGTCTCACTACAAAGCAAATCTAAGCATCCTTTGTGTTCCAGGCCGTGGAAGGGCAAAAGACAGCCGGTGTATTCTTATCACCAGCAAGACAGAGCATGCAGTGAAAGAGCAGATCAATATCATGCAGGAGAAAATTGTGTACGAGTCCATTGAGGAAATACAAAAAGTTAACCATGAAGTCTTTTTATCTAAGGTAACATATTAACAGTTTCTTTCGGAACATTCTTATTCATTTTTTAAAGAAAAGGCCTGGAATCTCAAGGAGTGCATATCAGCACTGCAGAAACCAGTCTGGTTTTGGCTGAGGATGTGCGCAAGAAGCCTGTGGCTCACTGTTAGGAGATTCATAAAGGAATTCCAAAGTAAAGAGTACAAACTATTTTCCTTTTTTAAAATATAAGTCTTTTAACACTGTTGTAACAGAAAGAATAAGTTCTGGATCCCGAGATGAAGTTAAACAGAAGAGTTTGTTGCATGCAAGGAACAACAAAACCGAAGTATTGTTCAAAGTGCCAGTACAAACTTTCAGTTTATATACTGTAGTGTTTTCCTGCTGCTTCTGACATCGCTCCTTTTTATGGTAAAGGGGTGAGGTCACGGTGTTTGACCAGTTTACAAACTCTGGCCAAATGGTCAGGGTTTTAGATTACCCTCCCTGGGGTGTTTCCTAGCTGGCATCTGGAATCCTTATCAGTTATCTCCTTTTCCTGCCATAAACTCCAGTTAACCCCTTCTTCACATCTTGTATATTTCATCAACACCAATAGCATCTCACTGATTGCATTGGCTCAGAATTTAGAATTATAAATTGTTAAAGGAAAACTTGTACAGTGGTCGTACAGGGATATGTTCATTGGTGTTACTGGCCTCCAGAGCTTCTCAAAGCTAAAGGAAACCCTTGATAATGTTTAGTTGAATTGTGAGAGTATGGAACAATCTACCCAGCCATGTTGTTGAAACACATACTCCTGCTTCTTTCGATAAGTACATGGATCAGATCCTTGGATCAATTAACTACTTTAAAAATTGGCTGGATGGAAGAAATATATTAGTTTTGTAGAACTTGCATGCTAACATTTCACATATCATGGATAGCAAATTAATACAGATTTTGTCAAAATTGTGATGCCCTGGGGGTTGTGACGGCCATTTGAACACAGACAGACATGTCCAATGCTCCGAACACCAGCCTTTTTAGTCTGCTGTGGAACTTTTCCACATCTGTACAGGCACTCTCCTGCGAGAGTGGTGTTGACATAGGCCTCTTACTCTGGGTAACCCAGATGTGTGGCGTCACAAACTCTGAGAACTCTGGGCCTTTCACTTGCAGATTCCCAGGCTCAAACTCTGCACCACAACCATGCCACCTCGCCCATGATGGGCGAGGTCCTGTATGGGGCTCCCTCACTGAGCCTTTGCTTGTGGTTACCCAGGCTTGACAAGCGTAACCTTGATGACACTCTTGCTGGGAGCCTTCTTGCTCACAGCCATCAACACAGACCCTCCTGCTCCCAGTCTATGATGGCTTCTGGTTCTCTCACCACCGGTCAGCCCTTGGACTTCCATGTCCGCCTCCTGCCATCGGCGTCCTCACCTGACGCAACCAAGCTGGGTCTCACACACGCAGAGTCTGCAGCACTTCACTCTTGCACTCGGAGCTCTCTAACTATCAACCCGGGTCTCTTCAGGGCACGTCACTCAGTGCCGAGACTCCTCACTCTTTCCCTCACTAAGATCCACACACGACCTCCCTGGTGCCTCACTCTGAAGCTCCATGTGGTGGAGTTGCAGCTGCTGGTGCACCTTCCCTGTGCCTTGTGTGAGGACCACTCCTCACCAAAGGCTGGCAGCCTTTGCTACTCCCTCCCCCAGTACCCTGTATCACCTGTGGGAGGGTCTCTCCGCCACACCAAGTCATACTCTATCTCATACTCTACGTTAACACAAAGAAACTCACTCTCACCCAGTGGGCCTCTAACAGCCTTGCTCTCACGTTTACTCTAAACAGGCTGCTGTCTCTTGAAATCTCTTGATGTTGCAAGGCTCCATAATCATAGGTGGCGTCTTTCCGGCCTAAATGTACATTATCAGGCCTGGAGAGATTAC